CCTAAGCCCAAAATCCAAAACCCTAAACTCCGACTCCCGATCTTTTAGTGGTGCGGCCTCTTGCGAGTAAGGTCGAGACGTGATCGGTGTACAGTCGCATTAGTCATGAATCAGTGTGAGGCTTAAGGGAGGCAGCAGGCAGCATTGCTTCTGTAAATCAGTAGCCTCACGGCGATCTCTCTACATTCACCCGGAACCTACAAAGTAACCACAATCAAGTAACCGTCATATTTCCAGCCGTCACAGTTAGCCCGTGTGCAAAACCCTTAGCACACAACAGCTTATTGCAACCCCACAGGCAGATTAACGTTCAGAGCTTCGTTCACGTTGTGGAAGCCTCCCCGAAGCTGTCGCAGCATGTACCCTACCTTAAGAACCCAAAACCCACTTTTTTGTAGGTCCTTATTATAAACCCTAATATGGGTTTAGAATAAGAACCTACAAAAAAGTGGGTTTTGGGTTCTTGAGGTAGGGTTTGGGGTGTAGTATCGTATGACTGTATAGGGGCTACAAGGAGACACCAACACTGATTCCTAAACCCTAAAACCCTGTAATGCCTCTAGGCTTGAGCAGTTCCGAAACCCTAAACCTAAACCCTGAATCCTAAATCCTAAACCCCTATAAGCCCCGAAATCCTAAGCCCCTAAGCCCTAAAACCCAATCCCTAAACCCCCCAAGCCCTAAACCCTAAATCCTATCCCTGAACCCCCTAAGCCCGAAACCCTAAACTTCTCCAGGAGCACGGGACAGGCGGCGTATCCCAAAACTTTGGGAGACGATGGGATGAGCCTTGGGATTTTCTTCGTGATTGGGCTGAGGGGTTCCTTTAGAGGGAGCCATAAGGGCCGAAACCCTAAACCCTGAAGGGTTAAGGTTTAGGGTTCAGCGGTTCAGGGTTTAGGGAAGAAAAAGAACCCTGGGGCCTAAATCACTTCTGCTAAAAAAAAGAGAATTTTCGTAGATTCCGCTTATTTCTTCGAAAATTCTGCTAGAAAAAAAAAGGAACTCGCATGGAAATTCTCGAAGCGCTGCGAGATGTCCCAAAACGCGTGCATTCCGGAGAACTCTGTGAATTTCGTACAAAACGCGTGCAAACTCTGGAAAAACTGCTGTTTCTAGAGAATCCGTCTCTTCGACAAGATTTGAACCTGTGACAAATCCGGAAATTTCTAAGAATCCTAATAATTCTGCTTTTCTTGCTGCAAATTTATAGGAAAAAACAGTTCCATGCCTGGAAGCTAAGCCCAGAAGAAAATCTGAAAATTTCCGACACCTTTAGAAATCCGCCTTTTCTGTTTGCGATTAGCGACATCTTCAAAGAGCGGATTTAAAAGCCGAAATCGGTTAAATTTGCGCCGCCCTGCGGCCGGATTAAGAAGCTCCTTTAAATTTAACCGCGCCGTCGCCGATTAAAATCCCGCGGCCGATTAAAAGCCCGCAGCCGATTAAAAACCCGAAATCGGTTGAATTAAACCGTCCCGCGGCCGATTAAAAGCCCCCAGAACTTGACCGCCCCGCAGCCGATTAAAAACCCGAAATCGGTTAAATTTCGCCGCCCCGCGGCCGGATTAAAAAGGCCGCAAACGATTTAGATTTAACCGCGCCGTCGCCGATTAAAAACCCGAAATCGTGTGAGTTAAACCGCCCCGCAGCCGATTAAAAGCCCCCAAACCGGTTAAATTGAACCGCCCCGTGGCCGGATTAAATCCGAAATCGGTTAAATTTAACCGTCCCGCAGCCGAGTAAAAACCCGAAATCGGTTAAATTTTCGCCGCCCCCCTGGCCGGATTAAAAAGCCCCCCAACCGGTTTAAATTAAACCGAGCCGTCGCCGAACGGGGGTCTCAGCGCTCTGACGTGCGACAGTGTTTCCGTAAGAGTTTCACTCATCGCAGGAGCGGAAGAAGATGAACCGCCGCATCGAGCAGCTGCCGGTCTTTCGAATACCATCGCCATTGACTCTTGCACGGCAAAGAAGAAATTCCTTTCTCGACTGGCCCACTACTGCCTACGAGGGAAGGCATCCTGCACCTGACGGCTGATCCACCGAGGTGAGCAGAAGATGAAGGAGATCGGCAAGCAGCTCGATTTCGTGCAGCGGCAGATCCACTCTTGGCGTTTCTCTCTCTCTCTCTCTCGCTGGTTCTCTCTCTCTTGTCCACTTTTGGACTGCTTTGGCGCTCGTGCTTGATGTCTCTTTCTTGCCGGTGTGTCGCAGGCGCCGGCCTGGATCGAGCGGGCGGAGGACCTGGAGCGGCGGGGTGCGGCCAACCTTGATGGCCTTAATTAATAGTTCGAAGCAGATGCGTCAGCATCTGCGGGCACGGATCCAGGAGAGGATGTATGCACTCGACCGCTACCGCAGCTGGCGCTCCAAGGGTGGCGGTCGTAATTCGTTTCTAGATCACGAGCTGCAGTGGGTCGTCGCCATGTTTTCCCGGTCCTCGAAGAAGGATCCCAGGCTGCAGAGCGGAGCAACTGGTTTAATTCGGACGGCTCCGTCCGGAGAGGGCCTCCATGCCATCGCGGTTGCGCGAATGCCGCAACCTGCAACGGTGGTGCAGGATGCTCTGTGCACAAAGATGCATGCAAGACTTTTGGGGAAGGGTCCGAGGAGTTGTGTCGGCACATGCTCAAGCGTGGGCCTTGCCTACAGCAGAGCAAATTGTCGCCGCTCAACGAACATGCTAAGACAGTTTCCTGACGGCGTGCCGGCAGACCTCCGGGGCGTGGCTTCAGTACCGGGCCGTGGTGGCTTGGAAACAAGACTTGGGAGCTGTCTTGCGCAAGGCGCAAGAAGCGCTGCGAAAGGGTCGCGGCGGCGGTCGCTCTGCAGAGAGCTTAGAGAGGACTTTACTTATGCTGCAAGGACTATCCCCTTCCCGAATTGGCGGGCGGGCGGCGGAAGAACACTTGCCCTTTCGCCGACGGGTTGATTGGGTTCGGGGATTAGGGTAGATCGATCAGGCTACTATTTATATATATATATAGATATATATAGAGGATCTTGTGCTTGCACCCTAAAACCTTAAACCCTAAACCCGAAACCCTAAACCCAAGGGTTCGGGGTTGACCCTATACCCAAGCTCTGAAGCCTAAATGTTAAGTCCAATGCCCTTAAGCCTGAAGCCCTCAGCGATTTCAGGGTTCTTGTTTGGGATGAAGGGCTCATGGTCCAGGAGTTAGGGGCGTAGGGTTTAATATAGGGCCTTAATATTTACCTATACTATTTTGGTGGTTCCTTACTATATTTATAGTATAATGGGCTCCAAAACCCGATTCCAGTTATTAAGCCCCTACATTAGGGTCTGGGGTCGAGAGGTTTCTGTGCTCTTTCTTCGGGTCTTATTTCGGGGTGCAGGGGACTATGACTCCGCCCAACTAGCTTTGGATGGAGCCCTTATTTTGTGGTCCGAAAGACTGGGTATCCAGGGTGTAGTAGAAGGTTGGTGAGGGATCTAAGCACCTATACTTTCGATGCCAGGACATGCATTATCACATGAGACAGCTGTATGCAGTATGTCGAGGTAGTGAGGTTCTGGAGTTAAAGAAGCATTGCGAAAGTGTAAAGCCCAGGCCCTGACCTGTGAACTCCTAAGTAATCCCAACTCCTTCACCCGAAACTCCTCACATGTGGGATATGTCACAGATAGTGGGATGCTGACCGCGATATGAAACCCCAAAGCCCAAAACCCCAATTCACTACACCCTGCGGAGCTAAGGAAGTACTGTGCTTTCCGCGCAGTTCCTGCCCGGATCTATCCGATTTGGACCAGCGCTTGGAGTCTTCGTCGAAGTGTTAGGGGTGTAGGGTTTGCCCAAAAACTCCGAAATCTACCAATGAAGCAACACACCTGAAATCAAACTACGAGTCCCCTACGATTTTAAGATCCATTCCTCAACTAAGAGGGTCTTGGAGTTCTGGGTGGGGTTTAGGTCCGTCTTCAGGGTCCTTATCGCAATAGTGACGAATTCAATTGGGGCCCTAGCTTGCAGAAGTGTTCGCTGTTTCGTTTCCGGTGTTGTGTTTTTTCAAGGTCTTACTCTTGCTTCATGGGCGTTTGTCGATGCTGCCCTAAAGTCCAAACCCTACGCAAGCTTGAAGCCCACGTCGCCCTAAATCTTCCTTAAACCCTAAGCCCCAAGCCCTGAACCTTGAACCCTAAACCCTTAAACCCGTAAACCCTAAACCTAAATCTGCAACCATGAGGTGCAAGAGTTCAACGATCTTCGACAACTGGCCCGGGCGAGCAAGCGAGTTTGAAACAGTGGCCTGGCTCTGCTTGTAGAGTAAGTATTTCGGGTTCCTTTTAAGGGCTTCAGGAGTTTAGGTATAGGGTTTAGGGCTTAGGGTTCTATCAAGACCAAAGGGTAGGAAACCCTTGTTAAAAAGGGGCTACTCGGGAACCTAGATACAGTTGTGCAGGTGTATCGATACCCCAATTGACTTCCTACTTCATTGCACCTATGGTTGTTGTTCTTTTCAGCTCCACCGATGCATGCCCATGACCCCTTGAATATGCTGGAAAAAACCCTTTACAAAGGACAGATGTCTGCTACTACATTCAAGAACCTGTGGGCTAGTAGACCCCGACGGGAACCCCAAGTAGGCCCATAAACCTTAACCCAAAGCTCTAAGCCCTAAACCCTAACCAAAAGCCCTTCTGAAACTTCAAGAAGCTTGAAGCCCGAAGCCCTGAACCTAAGAATACCCTAAGCATGAAAAGCAGCCCGAAACTCCAAGCCCGAAAAAAAACCAAAAAACCTTCAACATAAACCCTCAACCCCAAAAAGCAGCCTTACACCCTGAGCCGCACACCCTCAAACATCCTGAACCTGCTGCTCTCCTGAAGAGCCTAGATAGTTACCTATACTATCTTGGCGGGTCCTTATTATCATTATAGTATAATATTACCCCCAAAAACCCCAATCTAATTATTAAGAACCCTAAACCCTAAATCCTAAATCCCTACATTTGCCAAAGGCTTTCGCCTGCAGCTCGGCCTGTTCTCTCGATGAGAGGTGCAAATTCTTCGGTTACGGCCAGGAGCTCTAGGGTTCAGGGTTCAGGGTTTAGGGTTTAGGGTTCAGGGTTTAGGGTTTAGGGTTCAGGGTTTAGGGTTTAATGTCTAAGAGCCT